TCCCACATGGCTCAGTGGCTTCAGCTGCTGGCTAGTTGGCATCTGTCTCTAGCAGTCATGTGCTCGATCCTCCTTAGAGGACCGAGGGTATGCGCACCATTGACGAACACCAATAGGGCGAAACACGTCTTGTGCTTTTCCGGATTAGGCTTGCGAGATACTGGGATGAAAACCTTAACAAAATTACAAAACTGACTGCTTCATTTAATCCGATGGCCACTGTTAACATTCAGAACGTGTCAGATCCGAGATCAGAATAGGGCAGAGCATTTGAACTGACTGATTTGAACTGACCAAGCCAAATGACCGGGTGACTTACGTTTTCATTCCCCATTTGGACCCCTCGCTGCGGAGTGCTCCTGTATTACCGACCTGACCTGCATGTTGATATCATCGACAACCAGATATTCAATCCGTCGATTTTCTTTGGTGCTATCTGTAACTTAGAGTTGTTGGCGTGTGTTTACTAGCGATAGTTTACCGCCCTCGAATTTCCAACTTGGAAATGGATATTCGTTTAACTTCTTCGATGAACCGAGTCCTAGCACGATCACACAGGCAGGTGCCTCTGGTGAGGAATTTAACTTTTACCCGGTTGAAGTCCCAGTGAAGAATGCAAGGCTGATTCACAAGAGGTACTCGCCGATGAACTTTTTTGTACAACCATATCATCTCACCCATGCGTATCAGAACTGATAGGGAACGATCCGTTTTGGCCTTTGTGCTCATCAACGAGGAACTAATGATCGATACCTTGCCAATAGATGTAATAAATGCTTGGTTATAGTAATCATGTGACGCTATGCTTCAGTTACACCTGCAACTTGGAATACATCAGTGAGAACAATGACGAAGCCTACGTCGTCACCCATTCCCTCATCCTGTCCGGCTTCGTACAAGAAACCGATTAGTCATTCCTAGTCGAGCAGCCGTTGATGTCGCCTGGGTGGTGGTTGTCACCCAATTCATGGGCATAGTGGCAAATCATGGAAGGTAAAGTATTTCGTGCGAAGCAAACGAACTCCTTTCTGAAGCGCCGGACTTGAAAACGCATGGTCTCAAGGGTTTCACACTAATGCGCTTACAAAGTCTGCTCGAGTATACAGACCCGGAATGTGTACAAATGCATGGAAACCCTGTGTCAACTTGGTACATGGAGACAAACTCCGGCACCAACAGAACATCGCGACTAAACTCAGTGTCAAACCTACAATGCTATACAGACACGTCAACAAGCTCCCGCAGTAGCAGCGCGGGATCACACCCCTACGTTCAAAAGATGGGCCGGCGCAAACTATACAGGAGGCGACCAACGCGCTTAGCTAACATTTCATCTGCCTAGAGTAAATCCAGATTGAAGCGTAATGTCACCCCCCTGCTGACACAACTCTCGCACCCCAGTTTTAAAACACTTATCATTCTCAGAACCAAATGTGATGAGAAGACTATTGTCCTTGCACGTGCAGAGCTGTTCTGGGATGGACGATATTAAATCAAAGGCGTTGAAGTCAGCCGCCATGAACATTGCGAATCATAAGCTCGGTTCTTTCAACGACGTCTTGATGAATTGCAGGTTCCCAAAATGTGGAAACATGGAACCGTCACGTATCAAAAATTTGGAATCGTGCGGCGCCCTCGAACTACCATCCAATCACTCTGCTCCTAGTGTTGTCCAATGGAATAAAAGGTCTGATCGCTGACCCGCGCATAGAATACCACGAAAGCAACGACACCATAGTGTCACATCAGCCGAAATGGTTATTGCACCACAAACTTGCGGCTAGCCCGTGAAAGCTGGATAGAATCAGTCGATGCTAGAGTAAGAGGTGAAGCCATCTATTTGGATTTCTACAAAGATTTCGCCCCCTTAGACCACCGCATTCTCCTCCACAAGCTTCGAAGCTATGAAGTCACTGTCGCTGTGCTGTCTTGGACAAGCAACTTCTTCATTCGACCTCAGCCGAAAGTGAGAGTAAGCAACACCATTTTCGACCCAATTGAACTTCGGTGTTATCTACCCCAAGTATTGGTGCTGAGTCCAGGTTTACACCCAGTATTTATCAATGATCTTGCTAGTGCACCCCAGGCGAACTTCTTATTAGTTTCGGACAATTTTAAAATCTGGCATGACATTAAGCTAGTGGACGACCACGCGACAATGCAGAGTGATTCCGACAGAGTCTATATGTGGTCATACAAAAACCGACCCCAGTTAAACGTTTCGAAATGCATACGACATCAGCTTACACTTGTGTACTAACTTAGGGACCAGCAGTTGCAACGAGCTTCTTAGGAAATGCAGCTTAAGATGATCGTGCTGGATGATCTTGGCTGTTCGAGACAGAACAAAAAATGTACCGAGAAGAGCCAAACAGCAGCTTGGACTCTCACAGAGGCCTTTAAAATGTTTGAGCCATCAGTCTTTCCACGACTGCTGAACGTTTACATGGGGCCGCAAGTGGAATGCACTATGCCGGCTTCGCGTCTCTAGGGCACACGTAACGTTGATACATTGGAAGCTCCACAACGCAGAGCGACCAAACTCGGTAGAGAGAAATGGGTAGGGACTGTTCCTTCTTATCAGTGTTCAACTTACGTAGGTGCTTGCATATAATTTCTTGCTTTTGTTACAAATGTCAAGATGTGGAGAGCAATTTTCGATCAAGCTGACTGCGTTTGGATTTAGTGCGACCTGGACAGCGCTTATAAATGCTTAACAAGGATCTGTATCACTTTAAAACAGCTAGGCGTAAGGTAGTCTACATTCACAATTAGTCGAACAGCATGTAAATGTTTAAAGACGAAGTGTTGCATTTTGTCTCTTAGAAGCGAGATCCTGCTGTACAAGTTCAGGACGACCTCGGCTGCTCAAAGCAATTTGGTACGATGTCAAGGTCCGGGAATCAACTTATCGGCCTTCTGTGGTAGTATATCTGGATGTTTTCATTTATCGGTCTGCTAGCAGATGCTTAACGCACGCGCCGACTCATGAGAAGTACATTGTCTAGATTTGCAGTAGGAATGTCAGGCTTCATTCAAGACTTTATGACGAACAACTACCAAGTGCGCTATGACATTGTTCTATCTATTAGATGAACTTAGGCTAAGGACCTTAAAATCGTACGGCTGTCAGGATGGGTGCTTACAGGGCGATCTTAGAAATATCTACCAGATTACGGCTACCACCAGCCACGTTTACTACGTTTACATGAGGAGCCGCCAGCATAACTTATCTCACTTCATGAATGCGAGACACGGAAAGTTCTCCAGGATTACATTAGTTCCTCTCCCAGGTTCTGCGTGTTTACCAGACGTCATAGTGCTTCCATGATGCATTCACATCCAGAAATAAGGCGGTCGTACTTCGAGAGACGTTATACTGTGGCAAACGGTGTACCCAAAAGCAATCCCATACACAATCAAGCTAGGCTCCTTTACGTACATCCCCGTATGAACACCATAGTAAGTCCACCATAACGTTTTTCATTTGTTTCCTTGTCGCTTTTGCCAGTTTGTTGTCCTTCTGGCCATCCCATGAGACTCGTTGAGAATTACTTGTTACTGGTGATAAACTGTTGTTTCATTGTATATTCCGGCCAGCAGCTAGTCCACATAAGTGGCGTTAGCTGGCTGGCTAGCTGGCTAACCTAACAAGCTCCTGGTGGTGCCAGCTTGGTGGTTTGGTTTAATCTCGTTCCAGCGAATGTTTTGGCGGTAGTGTTTCAAGACGTCGTGGGTTTACGCGTGGCGAACGACCCCCTATAAAAAAGTCACAAGTGTCTGTTTAACAGCGATGGGATGTGGCTCGCCACTAAATAAAATCTCTGCCACTTGCAATTTCAAATGCTTCTACTCACTCACGGACGCCACTACTCCAGTACGAAGACCCCTTTCACTCATCCTCAAGCAGACAACTCAACCGAACACAATCACAACTGCAGTGTCATAGATCCAAGTTTACACAACACTGTTACAAATATGCATACGGATATATATATATATATATATATATATATATATATATATATATACAACATAGATCCAATATGATACCGCTAACCCTGCAACATTATTGCACATTTGTCGATTATTCGTGTTTGGTATTACTATGATCGTGCATCTTCAGGCGGGCCTCGCGTTGTCGAGAATACACTATGTATTTATTGATACTTAAAAGAACCATTCTTTTAAAATCAAACCAAGGACCACAGATTAAAACGAGAAAAAATCTGATGGACTCCCATCAGTTGTAGGTGCTTCGCAGAATTTGACCCCCATTCCCATCATGTAGATGACTTGGAACCGCGAGACGGGAAACACGCTGGTGTACGTCTGGTTGCTCCTGCTTCGCAGTTCAGCCACATGTGCCGACTAGACTAGACAACTGGGTGGGCTAATTTATGAATAAACATTGCAGTCGGTGGCGCCATCTTATTCTTTTATGCTGACTAACATTTTGTGCCAGTGTGATACGACCAAAATGTAAACTCGCGAGGCACAAATTCGTGTTCACTCATTTGGTTTGTCTATCATTATTGCTACTTGCACTCTCCTAACAGCCCAATATGACTCATAGTTGGCCTGAACAAGAGGACCAGCACATTATTGAGATACGCTTCTCCATCAGTCGCTGCAAACTTCTTGCTCCTGATCTATGTTAAAACTCGGAAAATATGTGCTGGTTACCAGGTACATTCGTTCCTAATGTTCACGCTATTGACGTGCAGACAAACGAAATCAGAGCTACAAGTGTGTTCCGGTATGAACTCTGCCTTAAGGAGTAATTTCCAGAATGAAGCCATTGTTGTCCGACCTTTGTTCTCAATAGTACACAAAAATCCAACCATCCCTGAGACCCACTGATTAGCAGCTAATCTAGGAGCGATATCTGCAGTGAACAATGGCAAATATTACCGTAGAAACGTTTATCGATAGGACTGTATTCCACAACGCTCAATTGGGAATCGTGAAAATATTTTGGAAAATAAGGGATAACTCACCTTCCAAGCTCTCCTTTCGAGCTCCGCAAAACTGCTCACAATCAGTCCTGCTTAAAAAGTTATTGGGTGATCCACCACAATGGGTGTACGCAAACTCCTTGCAGGTACCCGTATGAACGTCAAGATACCAGCGTGATTCCATTTGGCCAATGTTCATACAACTCGGTTCAATTTGTAGCGTTTCAGGCACAAACAAGGAGTTCAGCGAATGCATGAGTTCACGATCTGTCGTATTGTTCTCTGCAACAGCAGATTTTATCAAGGGACTTGTGATCAGCCAGGCTTGGGGCAATTCTTCAGATGGAGCCTTGTGACACAGTTCGGAAGCACCTGTAGAAAAGGTTGTTGGGTGAGCGTGGAGCTATCTAAGTTAGACTACGTCACAAGCCAAGCAAGTTACTAACAACTAGATAAAAGGATAACGGAAATCTTTACAAGAAGGCTGGATGAGGCGGGATTGTGGTAGAGTCGCTATGAAGGCTTGAATCAACCTACAGTTGGACAATTATTATAGTTCGACACTAAAATTGCAGGGGATCTAGTGGGTCTATTAATAATGGTATGTTCATTTAGTGAGCATCTCAAAACCTGCGAGCGATTGGATAATGTGCTTGTCAAGTATTTGGTAGTGATTTGCCAATGTTCACGGATGAACTTTGTAATGTTAATAATATAACACTTTATTACCTCTTGATAAATGTAAAGAATCGTAATTTAACTCTGTACATTTCAATAGCAACATGGATAAATATAACCTTCAAAGCAGTAGTGTAATAGCATTGTAATTAGCTGCATGGTTGGATTGTCTGCACAAAGAAACTGCGGTGGTTGAACATGCATCTCAGTGGACTTGCAATTACTGCTTCGATTGCCCTTAAATTTTGTTCCAACAACGAACTTATTAACTAAAAATGTTTGCCGCAAATCTTGACTTTATTACGAGTTATCTGTGGCTAAGATGGACACAAACGAACTTGTACTACTCATCGACCACGGGCAAGCGGAGTGTGACTAAACTGGATGGGAAAAATCAAAAAAATATTATGGTGATGGTTATAAAGGCATGCTTCTTACAAGACCAAAAACTAACCTTGCAATAATCATTTTATAGCTTCTACTTCACGTCGCTGAGCCAAGTCTTATAAATTGTTTGCCCTCTTAAAGTAGATACGAGAATTTCCACCACGTTTGATTTAGCTGTGCTCAGTCTGAAGAAGAGCGAGTACTCTAATGTCCATGATGAGAAGGCATCTTCAGAGGCTTTGTTAAGAATCAAGGTTTGCCAACTATCATTGTTTCACCTACAAGCTTATGTGACCATAAGCCAAAAGGAACGCAGAGGCATTACTGACGCTTTTCAGTCTCAGGATAATCCGAGTACTGGAAATTGTCACTGACCATAAGACGATAGCAAACATTCGGTAGTAGGAATAAGGAAATGCTTCTCGCAATGTGATCTGAAAGGTTTTAGTACACAAAGAATGTTTCCTGGTTGCATTAGTGCGATAACACCTTGGGGGGAGTCGATGCAATTTGCTTAAACAATCAATCATGCGGTACAAGATAACGCATATTTTGGTAGAATTCTATCCTTGCACGTGGCTACCAGATGTGATGAAAACCCCATCGAACATATTTCCAGAACCACATTAATCCCCTAAGGCAAAATATTTGGCTGTTGGAAACGTTTCTGCTAAACTACGTGCATTCGTCCAAGCTGAAAAAGGATGCTACCAAAACGGTGCGGAAATGGCCTAGTAAATACGGCTAAACAGCCCACAGTAAAGTTGATGTACTTTCCTTAAGAAACAGAAAAGATAACGTGGTTAAATTATCAAAAATTTAGCACATTGACTAATGAGATCTCTGGATGATTTCATTCAAAATTATAAAAATAAATCCAAACGAATTCTTATTGCCTAATATGCAGTGAGCGTTGCACAAATCCTAGTCAATATCCGACAAAAGAAATATTATGGGAACGTTTTATCTGAAACGCATTGAAAATATCAACAAAGCAAGGACCACCAGCATTTGGCGAGATAGACTGAATTCTGTTTATTTCGTGTATTCGCAATCAGTCGCTTTCAAACGTACAGTGGGAGAAGTTAGTGAATGCATGTGACAGGTAATAAATATGGCAACTAATTTGAACCTGAGGTGATCGGAGCCATCGCTTCTAGTGCCTGATCCTATACCTTACCAAGGCAATACTAAGTTGGACGCGAGACTAACTTGCTTTCACAGGTTGGGCTTCAGCCGCCGGATTGCGGAAGCCTCGGCACACCGGGGCAGTGCTGGACTGTTCTGCCTACTGACGACTTTGAACGAGTTCCGGGGGTCTTGACACGCATTACAATCGAGTAGGTATCGAGCAATAGCAGGTAGCTTAGGTCCGCTCATCGCTAAGCCTCGCGGAACATGCTCCATAATCCTTGTAGATAACTTTCTCTCAGTCCGACCACTGTACATACTGCCGCATGTACAGTTTAAGTGGTAAACGCAGGAGGCGGTGACTTGTGGGAGTATATTAAGGTTGGATTGGTGCAGCGATTTTCTGGTCTGATGCAGTAGCACTTGCTCAGCTGCGTAATAACATCACTTTATGCATTGCTATAGTCGGTGGCGAAACCTCTTATCAACTTGTGCCCCGTTGTAAGGTAGAGCGATGAATACTTTCTGCTTTAGAACATCAGGTTGTTTCATCTTCCGTGATTTTCTTTTCCATATCTCGCTAGAAATTTACTAGGGTACCCATAATCGTGTAGCGTGGATACAGTGCACTGCAGTTCATTCGTGACGAACTTTTCGGAACAGATTCGGCGCGCTGTCGTGAAGCAGGTGCTAACCAAGGATCGTTTATACTTCATCGGACAAAAAGTGTTTAAGTTTAGATACTGCCCTGTCCAGCTGTCAATTAACTCTGCTTTGTGTAGGGTTTGCAGTTCACAAAGTATGGCTTTTCTAACTGCAAACTTGGGCTTGGAGAATCCGCTGGTGGTTGGGTTGCTACAAGCAACCTCTATTGAGGCCTCGGTTCACTTGAGGTGGACCTCGGCCATTCCGATCAAAAAGACCGTAAGTAAAATAGAAACATTATAGTGTTGCTCATCCCAACACTAGCACCCGAAGACCGCGGTTTCGTCCTGGTTGGGACTCATCAGTTCGAGATAGCCTGAGTTGGGCTGGAACTCAGAGCCTAGTCGCTCATGGTTGACACCATAAGCACTATGCCACTGAGATCCACGAGCAACGCTTGGTCCGGCGGAAACGAATGCAAAGTTGGGCTTGGAGAATCCGCTGGTGGTTGGGTTGCTACAAGCAACCTCTATTGAGGCCTCGGTTCACTTGAGGTGGACCTCGGCCATTCCGATCAAAAAGACCGTAAGTAAAATAGAAACATTATAGTGTTGCTCATCCCAACACTGGCACCCGAAGACTGCGGTTTCGTCCTGGTTGGGACTCATCAGTTCGAGATAGCCTGAGTTGGGCTGGCTTTTCTAACTGTTTCATTTCTATCGTGCCATGATAGATCTCAAATGAACCTAGCCTCATTTGAAAGTCAAATTTTAATTTTGGAACGTAGTCAGGTTTACTCATTAGGACGACGCCAAAAGCTTTCTCATGGAAAGAAAATCAGGGGCAATGTTTCACTTCTTGGATGTTTCCTTAAAGAGAAGATCAAATGGATCGCTAATGCAATCAAGTTATCACAAGCCCAGCTGGACAGGGCAGTATCTAAACTTAAACACTTGTTGTCCGATGAAGTATAAGCGATTCTTGGTTAACACCTGCTTCACGACAGCGCGCCGAATCTGTTCCGACACACTAGTCACGAATGAACTGCAGCGCACTGTATCCACGCTACACGATAATGGGTACGCTAGTAAATTTCTAGCACGATATGGGAAGGAAAATCACGAAAGATGAAACAACTGGATGTTCCAAAGCAGAAAATATTCATCGCTCTACCTTACAAAGGGGCACACGTTGATAAGAGGTTCTGCAACCGACTATCGCAAGGCATACAGTGATGGTATTACGCAGCTGAGCAAGTGCTACTGCATCAAACCAGAAATTCGCTTCACCAATCCAACCTAGATATACTCCCACAAGTCACCGCCTCCTGTGTTTACCACCAACTGTACGTGCGGCAGTATGTACAGTGGTCGGACTGAGAGAAAGTTATCTACAAGGACTATGGAGCATGTTCCGCGAGGCCTAGAGATGAGCGGACCTAAGCTACCTGCTAGCTCTATCGCTCGACACCTACTCGTTTGTAATGCGCTTCAAGACTCCAGGAACTTGTTCAAAGTCATCAGTAGGCAGAACAGTCCAGCATTGCCCCGGTGTGCTGAGGCTTCCGCAATCCGGCGGCTGAAGCCCAACCTGTGAAAGCAAGGCAATCTCGCGTCCAGCTTAGTATTGCCATGGTAAGGTATAGGATCAGGCATTAGAAGCGATGGCCCCGATCGCCTCAGGTTCAAATTAGTTGCCATATTTATTACGTGTCACATGCATTCACTAACTTCTCCCACTGTACGTTTGTAAGCGACTGATCGCGAATACACGAAATAAACAGAATTCAGTCTATCTCGCCAAATGCTGATTGTCCTGGTTTTGTTGAAATTTCTCGAGTCAACTGGTTATATCATAACGTTGAAAATGTTTCGACGTTGTATTCGAGCATATGTTTTTCAAGTGCTATTTTCACCAACCCTAAAGATTTGTTGTATGATTGGGGTTATTTATATGACTCAATGGCGTTGGCGAAAGTCTTTGATTTATTTAAGGGATGGCGCGGAAAGGGCTTGTTGACTGGCCTGCAAGTCGCAATTGTTAGGACGATTACTAAATTAACCATCCTGATCTCCTTTGGTCACGCAGTTTTTCGCCGTGGTAACATGTTTTTGTGTAGCAATCTATGGTACAACTTGGAGGGAAGGATAAACTTGAGAGCCGGAACCCTGTCTCGGCCTTAACAAATCACCTTCTGATGACAGGTCATCACGTGGATCAATCGAAAGCCTTCAAAGTGCTATTGATCTACCGCAACTCGAAAATGCTGGCAATCAGTGATGCATTACTGATTGCGGTAAACCGGCCGGTACTGTGAGCGCAAAAGCAACTGAGGCAATCTCAGATTGCCTTGTTCTTGAGTGCACAACTTTTACTTACCCGTATAATTTAGTTGGACATTCACGTAAATTAATTTTTTACCCAAATGTATTACGTTCGCGGCTGATGAGAGTAATTGAAATGCTATCATATGGCAAATTTTCTCTTCAGCCTGTGTTGACGAAATAGAGTTAGTCTGGCTAAAATGTCCTTTTGATAAATATACTTTCCAAGCAGCAGATTAATTTTTAGATTGTGTTGAAAGAGGGAACTTGAACGAAAAGTTGAAGTGGATTTGGCACGTATGCACCTAAGCAGACGGCCAACGCAGATGCCGAAAACACTAGACAGACGTTTCCCCCAGTTTGGCTTTGGTAGTTGTATACATTTCGTCTGCTCACCAAGGAACAATTGCACGTAACCCTTCAATTTCAGGTTACTACTGGTAATCACTGAAGAACCGTGGTGCCAAGGTAACTTGCCGTCATGAGATGGTTGTCCAAACAATATTGATTGAATTTACACTATGTTGTACATTTAGCCTAACCATCACAAAAAGTGTGCTTAAATAAGTATTTACTGGCCGATCCTGCCATTAGAATTGTAGACTGAATTTTCAATCATCTGTTCGCGTATATCCTAATAGTGATTTTACTGAAACTCGTATTCACTTGACAAGCCGTGAAGTAACCATAAATTTTCCAGATGTTGATCTCAAGAAGCTTGTCACTAGCATCATCATATTTGCTTTCCTGAACACAACAAATATTGCACAAATGAGAGCTGTCTTTTAGCTGGTCCGTTTCAGCTAATGGAAAAAGCAGACAACTGGAGTGTACGAGTATATAAGTACCCCTGTAATAATGCTTTACCAAGTAGTTGCGTTGCTATTTGAACGCCACACTGACATCCAGGAAAAACGACTACAAGGTGAATGAAATTAATACACTAAAACCGCATGGCTTAGCTGTGTAGTGGTAAAAATATAGTACATAATTTATGTGTAAACAGCAAGCACAATATTAGTGTCATCAAATGTAGGGTAGATGTCACAGGCGCGAACTTACTTATGAAGATGTCTGACGCCACTCGCTCGCTGCAGGTGCTCTCACACTCGGCAATTGATCGGAATCGGTTACTCGTGCCTCCGCACCCGTAGAATGTAAACCAATGACATTTTCCAGCTGTTTTGTCGAAATAAACCATGAGGACTGGATTCACTGCTTGGGTAGACTGCTGATCTAAGCAGTGATAATAGCCGGCTTTTGGGGGGGCAAGACACTTGCGAACGTCTACATACGGCACAAAGACAACGGTATGGGGTCATTTGTCTGCGTCCCGAAATACGAGAAAAAATAACAAGGTAGACACTTAACAGTAGCTGTCACTGAATTGACTAATTATTATGAAGCCGTCGGGGCTGTTTAAAACGAACTAGTCTGTACCAAACACTAACGAGTATCTATGAGCAACTATGAGTTGAAATGATCAACCCATGAAAAAGTGACCGTATGACCTGTTCACAGGATAATTACAACTTTGGTGGCAGGGCCTTTAAATCGACTGCGGCGTTTTACTCCGCGCATCAGTTTAACCTTATCTACCGTAAATATATCAGTTTTGAAAGAAGAAGCTGACAGCATATGTTTGAAATGATTTCCAAGGTCATTGAATGAATCTGCTCTATCCATATTTCAAACATAAAAGATGAGATATCATGCACGATTCATAAAATACTAAATCAATCAAAACAAAAGATTAAGAAGCCTACTAATATTAAATATTGCCTTCCGATTAAATGCAAATCACGAAGATTCAGTTCAGCACTATCCGATCGTTGCTCGATCGAGTAAGGAGAGTACCCCCTGTACATTTTGTCTTCCCATTTGTACACATTTACATGTTTGATGGCACCAATTTGATGGAGTTACAGTTGATTATGTAAAATGCTGAAAAACACAACTGTTTGGATACGTATAACGTATTTTAATTTGACTTAAGGTATAAAGTCTAGGTTTCTTGTTTGCATGAGCATTCGCACAAACCATCTATGGTTTACCTCTCATTTAGCAAGGCTCACAGGCTTTAGGTGTTACAAATAACAAACCAGAGGATAAAAAACAAAAACGTCTTGGGCGGACCTCACCAATGACTTCCATACACAGACAGTTGGTTCGGGTTTGTAGAATCTCAAGTCGAAGCTATAGAGGTTCATTGCGCCAAGCCTTAACTGGTTTTGAAATCGAGTGGAACATGTGTCCTTGATAGAAAATAAATGTTAGTAATATATCGCTACCGTTGGAACAAGTCTGCTTCTATCTCCTACGACAATCGACCCCCAATTCTTCTCAATGCAATTTACACTGCAGCAACAGCGGCACTTTAAAAAATGACATACTATACTTAATGATGCAGTCTCATCGGTAACTAAATATGGTCGTACAAAGTTTGAGACTTGTTAAGAGTGGAAGTTTGAAGACGTTATACAGTTATCTATAGACTACGCAAGGACGTTTTTGGGATCTAGTAGAATGCTAGTTTCAAGCAAACGCAGTACAGTTTATACCCGCAACAAGATTTGGTGGAGTGAGAATAAGTAAACTAACCTAGCCAGACTGTGTGCTTAGTTAGATATACATCCTTATAAGCTTTCACAGAACATAACCACCTAGCATCATTACAAAGACCAAAGGAACAACACTGTGCCCATAGAATGCACTTCAAAACAGAAAAGCCATTCCGATGCAGTAGTATATTTCACTACTGCTGCCCGAAAGAAAATCATGCTCAGGAGCAATGAGTAGTAACCTAAGTCATAATGTTTACCCAAATTCGACAAGGCGTAGCAGAAATATCCGATATTATTTGTCCAAACACGAAATCCTCAAAACCATTTAATTACTGACAAATGAATTTGTTAGACGTGTGTTTTGCCGTAATTAAGCGCGCAAGTGAAATACATAGTATAATTAAGGACTAGATGGCATGTAGAAAACGGTGCCAGAAATGTTTGGATTTGGAAAGCTATAACGTAAATTAAACTGCTAAGCTGCTTTTAGATAGTAATATTACTCCTGCTAAACAACATGAATAGCAGATTACTTCGATCGTTTTGCGATTCGGTTTCGCATTTGCCAATTCTGAAGTAAACTAACAGATAACAGCCAAAGGATTATTGTCATGGAACGGAACAAGTGCAGTAAATAGTAAATATTAGCAACGTTTGTTAAAAGATATAGTCCGCAAACTGATCTGCTATCAAGCTGGGTATCAGTGACCCGTATAACAAAGGCGCAACCAGGTATGGACTGAGGTTCAGCCCTCGTGTTGTATTTGAGCAGACTACGTTGTTTTCCCTGTAGGTTACATGCGGTGAATCTGTGCTGATTATGGTGGGCAACTGTTGGTATATTTCTATCCGCTCATCGACTACGGACGGTTCGCCTTAAAATGAGGTTGGGTACCGTAGATGAGTACTAAGGAACGGTGCGTAATTTGAGAACGGGAGGTTAATTAATTACTTAATTATACTGAATGCAGTCTCCGTAGGCCAGGTGTGAGCTATACTACGGCGTCTTTTCACAGGAGAAGCGGCTGTCATGTCAAACAAGTGAATTGTACTTAAAGGTACATTGTAGTAAAGGGTGGTGAATTAGAAAGGTGATTTCTAGATCAAGCAGTGGTTAACTGATCCAGGGGGTAAATGTTTCCGATCATGGATAAATCCTCACCTTATCAGAATGAGAAAGGTACTTAGGTGCAGGCATGAAAAACGGCGTGCAGTACAATCATGAGGGAACTCAGAATGAGGCAACATATGAGAACTAAGGTAGCTGTAACTCAGTATACACAACCTATACACCCGCAACATCCTTTCGTTTCTCAAAGATGAAAAGCTTATTTATGCATTTAGTACAACTGGATTTCGCAAAGTCTATTCTAAAATAGTAGTCACATCTTTTGTTCACGATGCATTGCGGAAGCGTGGAAAACACTAGAGGATAAACGGCTAAGCTCTGCAACCAGGCACCTCGATATTTCGGCAGTAACAGTCTTCAGTACATTAGGCGAGAACAATTCACCAACGATTTGTATATCCAGCACCCACAAAATTAGTGAACCAAACCGGTGTTTAAAGTTTCATCTACGTGAGGTTAAAGAAATTTATGACTATACACTGAAGTAACTATAGTTCTGTTGCAGTAAAGAGTACTTCAAGGCGAACGTCTATCCCAGTTACTAATAGACTTTGATTATATCAGATTATTAAATTAGAAATGTCACTACAGTTATAATCCTCCTCCAGTTTAGAAGGACTTATCCTTATGAACTTTTAGCCAAGAGAGTTAAGGTAGTTAAAAGGCAACTACGAAACTACTAGGATGATCCAAACGAAAAATTTTTGCCCAAGTATCAGGACCTTTGTTTATGTGTTATACAGACCTAATAACAATATGAGCGCAATCACAGTTCAGAAGGTGACAGGTTCCGTTAGAAAAATGTGGCAGTTGTCGAGAAACCGATATTAAATTAAAGGTAAATGGACAAAACAGATTGTGACTTCCAGTACATCTGAAATGTCCTACTAAATCACATAGACAGAACCCGTAAAGAGACAGCTTTTCAAGTATCAATGCGCAGGGTCGTTTATTTGCTCATATGTAGAGCTGTAAAAAACTTCGAAATATTTGTCCGCCACGTACTTACGCCATTTCTGAGAAGTAAACTAACTAATCATTACGGTTTGGTTACGCACCACACATTTAATGACGCTTCTATTTTAAAGACACCTTCATATGCGCGTATAAATTGTTTCCTTCCGAGCTGGTGGTTTGTTCCCAAGCTATTTGTACGTGCCTTATCCACCGTAGAAAAATATTTAACACTTTTACTAAGTTTACTCTCCGCTTCGATTAGACCACCTTGAATTTTGATTAGTACGTCATGGTAATGCCTGAAGTGAAGTGAGGAGGAGTTCAAAAGGAGTGAAGTGGGGATATCATTCGTTTTAGGGAGACTTGGAAATGATCCAGCCTGCCTTGCTCAGACGGGGAATAATCGACCAGTGACAAGTAGCGGCTCCGTCACAGAACGATGATGAGCGTTTATCACCTGGTTCGCAAGTAGTTCCTTCATGAACTAGTAGGATACTGTAGCACGTCATTGTGGTTCTCAGAACTATTAACAAACTACGTTAACTCCAACATGCTATGCTTGCAGTACCGTATTGACAGTCTGCAGTACAAAAGCTCGGCACATCTGAAGATGAAGACAGAGGGTTCATTGAGTGCTCTGAGTAATTAGCGTCCTTAATTTGTGGAGCAACTACCGTATAGTACCGAATTTAAGCCGATGATTTTTGGACAACTTTCCTTCCTATAGTGGGTGGTCGACTAATATAAAGCTTATGCGCAACTTGAAAAAAATCATATATAAAATTCACCAAGGAATTCATGGTACACATCTGCCCGTATCTCCCCTTAGCAACCACCGTATTGAGAGAGAGTTGAAGTGCCTCATCGTTCTGTGCGGTGATTACGCAGCACTGCAATCAGTGTGCCTATAACTGCACACGTTATTTTGGTGGCAAAACTTATCTGTTCATTTCACATTAACCGTTCGCGAGGTATCATAATAACGAAAAATACGGGAATATACAGAAACAAAAACCAGCACACAAAATAAAATGGGAAAAAGCATGGCAGAAAAGCCATAACCGTCAGATTTTCTGGGTGTCAGCTTATGTACGGACTTACAATTTTAGATAGATTTAACATCGTAAAGTTATACTGTCGGCATATCCATGGACTGACTTATATTCGGTACCATACGGCAATTTTCTGGGAAGCAAACCTGGATAATCTGTTACTGTGCCGCAGCTTTGTATGTAAGTACTTGAAAGTTTTGACAACCTGAGAGATTAGTACACAGTTAACTGGATCTGTTTAGGTTTTTAAATGCGATCTGCTCAAGATTTTTTAGAGTCTAACATTCATTGGTTTAATGCTTGGCTTTTGGATAATGCCTTTTGGGAGGCGAAGACATTGATATCGCACAATTCTTAATGCAACAATGCACAATCTGACTATGCGGTTGTATTGTACAGCCGTGCAAGCAGCCAAAAATCTTCAACCTTACATTTCTGTGATAATCAATGCATTTTCCTAGAAAAATGTGAGCCAAATACACATTTTATTCGCTGTGTTAGACTGCATACACACTTAAATGTGATATTTGTCAATCTTTTCTTTCCGTAGCCGACTCCGAATGGATCTGACTTGTAATCAGGTTC